AGCAACTAGAAGGATGTGCAACTATGACATACAACTATCTACTGGGGCTTTGGGGAAAAAAAGGAGGAGGATTGGCAATAGATGTTAGCTCAGAGCCAAGGGTCTTCCTCAGCAAAAAGAGAGGAGGATTAGCATGGATGTTAGCTCAGGGTTGATCTTCCTCATACATAAAAAAATAAATAAATAAAAAAGAAAAAAGAAAACCACAAACTAAAACTTCAATGAGAAACTTAGAAATTTCTCACCAATCCTATTGGCTCAAAGGCACGCCAAAAGGTGAGGGATGGGGACAGGCACTCCCAACAGTCCTGGGGGAGTGGCCCTGGGGAGGCGAGTCTGCATTATCTAACAAAACTTCCTTTGCATTGACTTTGGACTCAACAATCCCCCTTCTGGGAGATACTGAAGATTCTCTCCACAACCACAAAGCCCACGTGAATGCCACAGATGGCTGGGGAGTGAGCCTCAGGGTACAGGTAGGACATGCAGGGGGCCTTCTAGATAAGCGGTTAAGGGAAAGAAGCAAGATGTGAAAGAATCTGTTATATGCAGAAGGCTACTTGTAGTGTCAGAAATAAGGGGGAAATACATATACACACACACTAGAAAGAAAAGAAAACAGTTTCCTGTTGATGGTGGAGGGACTGAGACTTCTCTAAGCTTACCTTTTGTAATTTTTACTTTAGAACCATGCTGTACTTATTTTTTAAATGAAATTTAAAAGAATAGGAAAAAAAAAAAGCCCTAAAACTGAAAGTTCACAGAAATAAACGAACCTGACTGTACGTCAAACTGATAACAGAACCACACACACAAAATGAATTAACTCAAGCAACTACTGAGCCAATTAGAGCTATAATTTTTCTAAGGGAAAAGAAACACAAAGTCATCTTGGCCATTATGAAATAGGCGTGCTGTTGGGTGCAGTCATTTTCGTTCTGTTTTACAAGCACTGGGGGATGGAGTGAATCACCCCGCCTGGTGTTGCTGTAGGATCCAGGGCTCTTGCTGTGGGGAAGGATGGGACAGTGCCTTCTGAGGAACACTGTTCAGAAGAGGCCATCACAGAGGGTGGGAATAACCCCAAACCCTGGCAATGCCAAGTGCCCAGGATAATGCAGAGTTCTCTTTCAAACTGCAGTTTTCATTGGGGGAGAAAAGGAACCGATGAAATGCTCCTGGCTGCCCTGCACTGAGCTGAGCTGTCCCGTTCGCCTGGCCCTGCCAAGGTGAGGACTTGCATGCTGTGGGCAGCCCAACTCTGAGGTCTGCAGGGCCCAGCAGCCCCCGAGGTCACCAGGCCTGTAAAAGGCAGAACCAGGCTGAGTGCCCGTGAGGCTGTCAGTGTTCTCCACGCCTGGTCTGGGTCTCACAGAAAGCAGGAGGTACCCCCAGTGTCAGACCCCTCAAGGTCCCAAACAAGCTGGAACAGCATGCTCTGTCACTACTGGCTCCCAGGAATGCGACGTTTTTAACTGTATTTTTAATTAGACTATGGCTTGACTCTCCAGCACATTTGGAACACGGCAAGAATCCAGAGCCCCCAGTGGACTGTAGGATACAATCCGCACAGCAGGTGCACCCCACCTGCTCTGAGTGGGAGCCCAGCAGGGTTAAGCCTCAGGAATGGGAACACATGGCCTCCAGGCAGCCTCCCCCTGAAGGAGGAGAACCCACACCCCACAGGCAGAGCAGCCTCCACCTCTGGGCTGTGCGGTGTTGAGTCTGAGGGACAAACGGAGAGGATAACAGCACCCCCTCCTGGCACAAGGGTGCCAGGCCATCGCCACATGGAAGAGCTTGTTGCCCACACCTGGCAGCAAATTCTCATGGGTCCAGAGCAGCTGCGTGACCAGGGACCATGCCCCCTCCTCCTTTGGCTCTCGGGCGAGGATATGCCCTCCTCCTTCTGCTGCCACAGATCTGCCTCTCCTCATCTGCGGAAGCCATCCCTCTGCTCAGGGCACTCTCTCCCCTTCCCCTGGCCAACTCCCACTCAGACTTCGGATCCAGATTAAACATCCCTCCATCCCTGTGGGGAGCTTTTCCTAATGGCCCAGATGAACACTGGTTCCCCCTGACACTCCAGAACACGTTTCTCCCTCACGGCCCAGCAGAAGTGAAGCCATGACTTATCCTGGGGTGACACGTGGGACAGGATGCATCTGCCAGGCCACCTGTGGGTTCTCAGGACACTCATGGGGTGAACACACTCAAATCAAAAGGGTGTGAAGGGCACATACCACAGGTCAGGGTTGTCGGTGCTATTTTCTATGCTGAATTGTTCGATCTCTGGTCCCACCTGAGCAACAAATTTGGCCAGTTTCTCCGCAGTCTCCATTGTCTTTGAGTCAACTACAAAACAAAGCAATTGCCATGCGTCAGTTCTGAGCTGCCGCTTCCCATGTGAACATCTTCCTGTGTGAACACCCGTGGGGCTGTGGAGACTGATTACAAAGATGGCCCCTCATGTCTCCTCACTGCCTCCTCGCCCTTTGCTACATGACCCTGCAGCTCTGTCCAGCAGAGGATGACCCTCTTCTTTTCCCTTGAATTGGGGCTGGCCCTGGGACTCCTGCTGGCCAAAACAACGTGGCAGAATTGTAGATCCTGGGCCCCAGAGGCCTTGAGCACTTCCACTGCCTCTCCTGGAGGCCCAACCCTGACTTTCAGGTGAACAAATTCCAGGCTGGCTGCTAGGGGGTGATAGGCATGTGGCCCAGTCACCCCCATCATCTCAGCTGATGGCCCCAGACAACCAGCCATTGCCTGCAGACACATGCAGGCCGAGCCCGGCTCAGCAGACTCTGAGCAACACCGGATCCCTCTGATTAAAGCCATAGTTTGGAGTAGCTCGTTATGTAGCAATAGCTTGAGAATGTAGCAGTCATATAGATTTTTTCCTCTCTACATTCCCACCTAGGGCTGAGGGGGAAGCACTGGTCAGGAGCAGGTCTACTGCAATGGGAGAAGGTTACAGCCAGGAGAAACAGAAGAAATTGCAGGTCAGCTAACCCTGAGAAGGTAAACATAGAGACTGTGGGGAAAAGGAGGCAGAAAGAGAGACAAGGGCAGCCCTATGGAATGTAAAAGGGGGCTAGAACAGAGAGAAATGGATCAAGGGCTGAAGCCCCAGGCACGGGCACACGGCATGCGCTGCCGGCCAGCAGTAGGACCCTGCAAGGAGGCACAGAGTCATGGGCAGCACCTGGCATCAGCTCCACCCTCAGGACAGGAGGAAGGGTGCTACAAGTTCACAGGCCTCCCCTTTGAGGAGACAAGAGGAGAGAAAGTGCTTCCTGTCCTGGTCAGGTCCCTGTTGCTACTGCCCGCTGCCGAGACCAGACCACCAAGGTTGCCCCCCGCCCCCTGGAGAGAATCCTGGAGATTGGAGAGTCGGGGCTGGGTCCAGAGGAGGGAGACAGGAGTGAGCACCAACCGTCAGCAGGCAGGCAGGGAGAGGAGGTCTGAGGGGCTTCAGAGACTTCCACTCCTCCTGGCTTGGGGGATGGGCTCGAGGCTTCTGTGCTGGCGTCCTGAGAAGAAGGTCCTGTTGGATCTGGTGGGCAGTCCTGGGCAGCATCATTTCTGTCTGGCTGGGGCGTCTTTCCTTGCAAGGAGCCTGCAGCCTGCCGGCCGTGGTGTTTTAGTCTGGTGCCCGAGGAGAGGAGGGTCTGGGTCCCGGTGGTCGCTCTCCTCACCTTCCAACCCCGGAGCCCTTGAGCTCGGAGCACCCCTCGCCGCCGCCCCGGAAGGAGCCTCTTCTTGAGGTTCCGGACTGCCCGGGCGTACAGCATGGCTCGGACTGCACACTCAGCCGCCACCGGCTTCTGATCCACTCCTGGCAAGGTCTGGCTCATGCGCTGTGTTTCTGCCAGCTTCAGCTTGTAATATTTATACTCCAGACTACTGTCATCTGACAAAAACCTGTAAAACAAAATGGGCACAGCACAACATTTGTTAAAACACCAGCATGACCCAACTGCTGCTGCAAATACACCTCTGCAAACCCTTTCTAAGTGGCACCATTCCTGCTGTCAGACAGGCTCCACTGGCTCTGCCAAGGACCCAGAGCCGGGCCCAAGTCACCCTCCTGCCCAGAGTGACCACAGGGCAACCAGGAGCTTTGACCAAGCACTGGTCGGGATTCCTCCTTGATTTCTGTTCATCACCAGCCATGAAGGAGCTCACAGCTCCTGGTGGCCTCGAAACATAAACCAGTCATCCTGGAGCCACAGAAGCACTCTGCTACCAGCACATGGCAGGCATCGCCCCTGGAGCCTGTTTTCGGGGGGTGACACCTTTCAAATGCTGTGCACTCAGTGACCTTTCAACTGCATTACTGAGGCCAACATGCCACTACTGTGGAATCATGTGCCCGAGTCTTAATGAGAACAGCACAGAAAAGAGAAGCAGTTTGAGTTACACGTACTGACCTAGAAAGACATCCATGATACGGTCAGTGGAGAGCAAGCTACAGAAGAACAGAAACGTTGATACGTGCGATATGAAACCGCTGTGTACACACATCCACGCACATTTGCTTTTTTCACACAGGCTGAAAGAACCTGAGGCAAACTGAATAATTCACTCTGGGAACTGGGATGGAGAGGGGCATGGAGGCGGCTGTCACATCATTGACTTCATTTTCCATTTCATTAGCACCTTCTTTCATCTCTACTAGCCCTTTCCTTCCAGGGTCTGGACTTTTTCATCATTTCCTTCTAGCTTCGTGCACTGAACACCCACCATCACTCTTGATTTCCGGTGAATACATCTAAGGTTGTACCATCTCCCTGAGCGTCGTCGTGGCTGCGTTTGGGGTGCAGCGATCTCCCTGCTACTTCCTTCTGCAGAGTTTCTAATTTCACTTCTGGTTCCCCTTCACTCAGAAGTCATTTAGAAGCATGTTTTATTTTGGCTGCTGCTGGTTTCGATGCTTATGTGTTTAATGTGGCCCACGTGATCTGCCTTCCCTAGGATTGCTGCGATTTTCTCCGTGACCTCAACTATAACAGGCGTTTGTGAATGTTCAATTTCAGTTTGCGTTAAAGAATGAATATTGTTTGGTGAGAATGGCAATACTTCAGGTGGCTTTCAGATTGTTTCACGTTGAGACCACCTATTAGATGAGGTTCCCAATGACAGAAGCCAATTGGAAGCAAGGTGGCAGCGTGTAGCAGGGTATTGGCAGCACCACGTGGCGTGGCATGTCCCTGGTGGGCAGCTCCGCATGAAGCTCCTGCTGATTTGCAGAGTCAAGGTCCGGCTGGGTCTGAGGAAACAGGCTGCGTGCTGGCTTCTCCACTGCCCTGGATACTCTGCTGGGCCAAGAGCAGCATCCTGCAAGATCGTACCCTAACAAGCAAGGGTCCCCGCATAAGGGAACCATGGCCAACAAGGACGCTCGGGTTCTCAAGTCAAACACAGCCCCAGCAAGGCCACCCCTTACCCAGGGCAGAAAGTGGAGTCATCGCCCAGGTGACCCAGATCCCCATGGTCTAAGTCCTTTTCCCCTGGAGGGTCTGATGCCAGTGGCAGTCTGAGGATGTCAGCCACAAATCCATCTCCCCCAGTTCTGGTGGAGCATAATATCAAGAGCAGAGAATATCTCCCCAAGCTAGCCGGCTGGGTCCAAATCCCAGTGAAGCCACTTAATAGCTGTGGGATTTTACTGAACCTTTCTGTGCCTCAGTTTCTTCATCTGTAAGATGGGCAGATGATAATAAGAAGCCACTTCATTGTGTTGTTGTTAGGCTTGAGTTATACACTTTTCATTATAAGGAAAGTGCTTTGACTACTGCCTGGCATTCGTTAACTGCCCAACAGATATCAGCACCTCCTCTGTTTCTGCCCATTCACTGTGTTCTAAATCCTCCACGACCATATTTGGATGACATCATCTACCCATTTCAGAGAAATATATTCAAGTCTCTTACCATGGTAAGGACTTAACAATCTCTCTTATATTTCTAAATGCTATTTACATAGCTCAAAGCTCTGTGGTTCCAGCATGGAGAGTCCTGACTGTTGTAGCTTCTGATGACTTTCCCTTGTCAGTAATCTCTTTTGCCCCTCTGAATGCCCCCCTTTCTCTGTTTGGTCTGAAGGAACAGTTCCAAACCTCCTTTCTCTCTGGTAGCATTCACTTGGTATGTAATCTTCTGTTTTTGTTTTTCACTCCCTGAGTTTTAAGTATCTCTGAGAGTAAGCAACAGCTGGTGCTTCTAAACTCAAGTCTGGCTAGCAAAGGTAGCGTCAACCCATGGACACTTTCAGATTACTGATAAGGTTGAATGTATTCAAACTCGTTTCCTATCTGCCCTTCTTTCTTCATGTCTTTTTTCTTTTCTTGCTTTTCGTTGGACTGAATAGGTTTTTTTTTGCTCCCCTGTCCATAGTAGTATGGAAGTTATAATCCCATTTCCATGCCTTTTATGGCTAATCAATATATATTTAAATTCTTATTTCCTCTCAATGTCCAGAGTTACTCACTAGCTATACCCTCATTCTGAACAAGATAAGAGCCCTAGCACTCACTTCCCTCCTTCCCCTTGCCACCTTGCATATTTAGATCTGGGATTTTAGTGGTCTTTCCCCAAGCAGCAATTATTTAGATTTTGTGTTCACTTCCAGGCCCTTGGACAATCCTGCTGAGGCTGGCCGAGGGATTCTTGGCCACCTGCTTTTTTCCTGAGTCTGCAAACATGTGCACCTGGTGGGCTCTCCCTGGAGAGCATGGTCCAGCAAAGGTCAGGGTCATCCCACTCCCGGGGACAATTCAGAAGCTGGGAGAAAACAAAGTGTGACGTGTTCCTTCAGTTCTATGTCTGGCACTGTTGGGACCACTCTACAGGCTTGTTTCTTTGCAGTTTCTCACAGAGAATGGAGGAAGCCTGCCAACTGGTGCTCCAAATGAGGAAGCAAAGTCGTAGTGGGTGTCTGTCTGCACTACTGACATTTTAGTGCACAGGAGGGGCAGGCTGCCTTGGTGAGAGGCTGTGGCCAGTTCTCTCCACAAGGCTCAGCTGTGAACAAACTCACGTTTGCCCCTCCTCGTGGGGAGGGGGAAGTCTCAAATCTCTCCTGGACCTTGGAGGGCGAAGATAACAGAAACTCTTCTTACACCTATCTCCTAAGGTCTGGACCTTTACTCACTAACTAAAAAAAAGCACCTATTAACTGTAGTAGGGCCTAGCAAGAAGTGGGTCTTCTGATCAACAACTGGGAATTCCTTAAATACTGGGAGGTGAGTTAACTAAAATCCTCATTTATCTTGGTAGGGTGTCAACAGTAATGCATAAAACTGAAAGATCAAGAAAGAGCAATATAGGCTTATCATCGAGAGATATGGAGGTAACTGTCAGAAGTAGCTTAAAGAACGAAAGGTGACAGCCTCCAGGGAGTGGAACTAGCAAGGGAACCGGCCACAGCAGAAACATTTTGCTTTTTGTGATTAGTTCAGTGGATTTCTTGGGTAAACCACAGACACGTACTACTTTGATTTAAGAATTCAAACATACACACTAAAAACCTAAGCTTACTAGTTTCTTATCACTGTTTTTTGGCAGCACACTCTTTCTCATAAAGTCTCTGGGTAATTCCTTCTGAAGGAGTTCATGGACAATCAAGTCTCAAGTCCAGCTCCCTACACTGTTCTTCGTCTGGGTCTATTCTATCAGCCAACCAATGAGATTTTTATCTCAACAATCAGATTTTTCTTTTCCAAGATCCTTAATAGGTTCTTTTCCATAACAAGTAGCTCCTGTTTCATGGATACAATATACTATTATCCACCTAAGACTATTAATTACACAAACATATTTTTAGATTACAGTAGTCCACCTTATCCTCGGGGGATACAGTCTAAGAACCCCAATGGGTGCTTGAAACTGTGGATAGTATCTAACCCTATATGTATAAAATATATATATACTACGTTTTTTCTATATATACATACCTGTGATAAAATTTAATCTATAAATTAGGCACAGTAAGAGATTAACAACAATAACTAATGATAAAGTTGGCTTTGAAGCCATTATTAAGTAAAGTAAGGGTAACTTGAATACAAGTTCTGTGATACCGTGTGAGTCAACCTGATAACCAGCTACTAAGTGACTAATGGGTGGGTAGTGTGGACATCTGGACAAAGGGATGATTCACATCCCGGTAAGGAAAGAGCAGGACAGTGCAAGATTCCATCACTGCTACTCAGAATGGTGCACAATTTATAATTTATAAAGTGTTTATTTCTGGGGGCCAGCCCAGTCACGTACTGGTTAAGTGCGCACACTCCACTTCGGTGGCCCAGGGTTCACAGGTTCAGATCCCGGGCGCTCACTGACACACTGCCTGTCGAGCCATGCTGTGGCGGTGTCCCATATAAAGTAGAGGAAGATGGGCATGGATGTTAGCCCAGGGCCAATCTTCCTCAGCAAAAAGAGGAGGATTGGTGACGGATGTTAGCTCAGGGCTAATCTTCCTCACAAAAAAATAAAAAAATAAATAAAAATAAAGTGTTTATTTCTGGAATTTTCTTTTTTTGTGTGTGTGAGGAAGATCAGCCCGAGCTAACATCTGTGCTAATCCTCCTCTTTTTGCTGAGGAAGACTGGCTCTGAGCTAACACCTATTGCCAATCCTCCTCCTTTTTTTTCCCCCAAAGCCCCAGTAGATAGTTGTATGTCATAGTTGCACATCCTTCTAGTTGCTGTATGTGGGACACGGCCTCAGCATGGCTGGAGAAGCTGTGTGTTGGTGCGCGCCCGGGATCCAAACACGGGCTGCCAGTAGCGGAGCGCGTACACTTAACCGCTAAGCCACAGGGCCGGCCCCTGGAATCTTCTATTCAATATTTTTGGACTGCGGTTAACTGGGGGGAACAGAAACCATGGAAAGTGAAACCACGGTTAAGGGGAGACTACTGTCTCCTTTTTCTTATAGTAACTCTGTCTTCTAAGGTGTCAGCTCTGTTTGTTAAATGTGGTGACTCTCCTTCATGATGTTGATTTTCCTCAAATATTTGATTCCTAGTTAAATGCTTATTTCTGATTTTGCACCCCCCTCCCCATATGCACACCTAACTCTGGCTGTGGTTCTGTCTGCTGCCCCTGGCTGTCAGTGATTATGAGCCTGCTGGGCTGTGTGCAATAGTCATGGGGCAGAGGCATATGCCTCCAGTCCTCTCAGGGTCCCCTCTCCCTCCAATCCAATCATCTCGTCAATCACCTGGAAATTGCCCCTGGGCCTTATAAGTCTGGATGGCACCTTACCCGGAGGGTTAGGTCTCTGCTTTCATCTGTCAATCTGAGGCTATGTAGCTTCCTTCCTTCAGCATACACACTGCTGAGAGCAAGCGCCTGGATGTGAATCTCAGCTCTGTCTTTTACTATCTAAGCATCCTTGAGGCAAGAGGCCTCTTTATCCTGTAAAATAAGGATGGCGACATACCTACCTCAAAAGGTTGTTTATGAGGATTCGGCAAGCTAGTGCTTAAATCAGTAAAGAACTGAGAGGAGTACCACGTGCACAGAAAGCAAAAGTGTTTGCTAAATAAAAAGTATTTAATAAACAATACTGGGACAATTAGGTTATTGGGTTTTTTTTAACTTTTAAGTTATATGCCTACCTCATTCTATACATGAAAATAATCCAGATGAATTCAAGACTTCTGTGAAAACAAAACCATACAAGTTCCAAGACTTTCCCTGGTAAATCATGCTGGTTAAGACAAAGCTCTGGTACTGTTACATGGAAACTTACACCTTTCCAGCATCTTTAGTAATTACGACAGCAGGAATACTGAGTCCGGCATGGTCACGATATTGACTACACAAGACCTGAATAGATCACTCAAAAAGAGGAACTAGAGGAACTAGGGGCCAGCCCCACGGCTGAGTGGTTCACGTTCCACACACTCCGCTTCAGCAGCACAGGTTCACGGGTTTGGATTCCGGATAAGAACCTACTCCACTTATTAGCCATGCTGTGGAGGTGTCCCACATACAATATAGAGAAAGACTGGCACAGATGTTAGCTCAGGGCTAATAATCCTTAAGCAAAAAAAAAAAAAAGAGGAACTACCACTAGATGTCCTATGAGAGAACATGTAATCTCATTAATCAACAAAGGAATACAAGGTAGAACATCACACTATGAAATTATCTTTAAGTCAAACACTCAGGTGAGGGCACAGCACACTTAGAGCAGCAGCGAGAGCATCAATGGGCACAAATCACCCACAGCAAGTAACCTGATGATACAGATCAATGATCTCTACCAGGGCAACTCTGCATCCAGGGGACACTAGGCAGTTTCTGATGGTATTCTCTCCCAGTCACAGCTGGGATGGTGGATTCTACTGGTGTCCAGTGGGTGGAGGTCAAGGATGCTGCTAAACATCCTGCAATCCCAGGACAGTCCCTACCACAGAGGATGATTCAGTCTCAAATGTTAGTAATGTTGCAGTTGAGAAACTAACATAGATCAAAAGCCTCTAAAGTGAGCTCTCCCTTTAACCCAGCAATTTCACTCCCAGATATTACCCCAATAAACTGCCAGCAATGTAGACGAAAATACAAGCAAAACATTGTTCACCGTTAACGTTAGTGAAGCGGGGAAAAACTGGAAAGAATCTACAATCCATCAATGGGCAACAGTTGAGTATGGTATGGTACCTGTGTGTGATGGAACTGTATGCAATCACCGATAATAAGGACAATTATGTCAACTTCAACACACAGGACACACTACGGGAAAGTGGTGGGGCTCTGAGTGACTACATGGTTGCCTTTTTACTCTTCTCTATTTTTACAAATGGCATATGCCACTTTCATATTAAAAAAAGTTAAAGTATAAAACTTTTCCACTTCCACCAATCTACTCTAGAGATAAACCTAAACACACAAGAAAATATAATGCTTTAAGCTATGCACAGAAAAAAATTAAAAACAGCACACAATCAAAAACATTTTAGAAGTCCAACAAGAGAGAAATGACAACATAAACTCTGACCACTACTCTATGGACTAGTAAACACAGTGTCTGAATCAATGTTTACAAAGAGTAGGGAACACATTTTCCCCTGTTACCTAAAAAGAATAGGCTATATCATATCACAGTATACAATTATGTTAAAAGCAAAAAAACCAAACAGCCCGTGGTGAGCAGAAAGACTGGAAGCAAATACCCAAAAATGTCAGTGGATGTCAATGGGCACCAGGTGGCTTCCCCTGACTTTCTCTTCTTCTTTACTTTCTCTAATAGGTACCGCACTTATGACGAAAGCTTTAATTTTAAAAAGTTGTTCTACGGGGCCGTCCCCATGGCGTAGTGGTTAAGTGTGTGTGCTCCGCTGCTGGCAGCCCGGGTTCGGATCCCAGGTGCGCACCAAGTGCTGTTTGTCTGGCCATGTTGTGGCGGCATCCCATATAAAGTAGAGGAAGATGGGCACAGATGTTAGCTCAGGGCCAGTCTTCCTCA